GTGTCCGATGCAAATGATGATACTTCCGTATTGATCCATTGGAGAACAGTTAACAGTGCGTTCGAGACAAAATTTAGAAAATGTCTCGTGAAAGCTAGGGATGCGACATCGATGTCGATGTTTCCAAAACATCGCTATTTAGTAAATACACTGATGTTTTCAACATCCGATGTTTTTTAACGATGTTTTTTAACTTCGATGTTTTGTGATCGATGATTTTTTACATCGATGTTTTGTTTCTAAATGAAAAATTCCCATGATCTCAATACTATGAAAGTTAAAATATGAAATAATAACTGATAGTAACACTTATTCATGTGTTTGGATCAAACGAACGCTCTTTGCAGTTCTTTCATCGACCAAACTCTCTCACCTGAGATGACCTACATGCTCTTGCATTTCCTCGTTCTTTATCAGGTTTCAATACATGAACTCACTTCCCGGTTATTCATCATTCGCTGCATTCAATACTGGTAGTATTGAGTGAAAAAATCTAACTGGCATATTGCTGCACAAATTGTTTCAATAATTATTTAACGCTCATGTCGCATCACTTTGTTCATGTGATTGTGTTACTTCAAATGTTTAGCCGGTTAATTAACATATTTAATCATTAAGAAACTGTTTAATTTTATGTCATTCTATTTGTCAATATGATTGCACTATTTCAAGGTTTCAACCGATTAATTAATTAATTAAGTAATTAGCTTGTTTGCTTCCTATTTTTTTCTGCTTTTGAATTGATTTATTTATTTAAATTCTGCCCGAACGGTAATTTTTTTCTACCTTTTGATAACCATTAAACTTATTTAAGTCACTTATTTTATAATTTTACCTGACGCCACACATCCGAGTTAAATTCATTTCTAGTATTCTGAAGGTTTATCTTCAGTGGTCCTCAAACGTTTTATTCTTTTTAGTTGTCTGAGCGGCCGGAATTGTATCTGAGAGCTGCTATGTCTACAGTCCACCTAACAATTTAGTTGCGCTCTTCACCTGAATACTCTCCACACCGATTATATAAAAATAAATGTTCGCGAAGGGCTGCCAACCCATTCAAAAATTTCGGTATTCAAAGACGAAGACTAGAGGTGCTGAAAGACCACATACTATCTTGCTATATTGAAAATGGTCACGGAATATTGAAATATTTTAATTTCTGGTATATTAATATTGAATACATAAATTGAATTTTCACAATTATCGAAAAATCTGGGATTTCAACGAAAATGCGACCAGCACCATTCTCTTCGGTGTTTTTACGCTATCTGAAGTCAAAATTTAATCAAAACGTTTGATGAGAAAATATTTGTTAAAAAAATAACAATTGGCTATTCTTCACGCAAATATTACGCGAATTTTTCGAAAAATTGTACATGACATTCAAAATTCTTCAATATTTCAAAATCTGTTTTAAAGAACATTTCAATAAGGAAATAATCTCCCAATATTTTAGTTGTAGGAAGATGTCGAAAAAAATTAAAGTTTTGCAATTTTCGAAAAATTAGGGATTTCAACGAAAATGATACTTTCACTATTTTTTGAAACGCCCTTCGCACTATCCAATAAAATAAAATAAAAATTGGAGCCATCATTTTTTTTAAATCTTCATATAACCCCCTGCCACAAAATTATAATTAAGGTTTCAAATTCAAGGGTCCCAACATCAACCAGATCCATGGGGGAATATCAAATTTGGCGAAAATCCTACTTACGGTTTAACCGCTAACGTTCTTCATAGACAGACATTTTGTCGTCTATTTTTCGATCTCAAGGACCCCCAAAACATGGATTCCGACTACACAACTTAAGTCACTCTACCTTGTAATACAGGGACAAGATTTGTCAACTTTTTGTTACCAGGGCCCACAAATAAGAGTTTTTCTGTCGAAAATTCGCTGTTTTCCCCCGCAGCATAAACGCTACGTAACCAGTGGTGAGAAAGTAAAATTGAAAAATTAGTACGTCAGTATTTTACCAAGTGTAATGTCTAGAGTGTTTGCGTCACTCGTGCATCATAGAGCGGCATGTCAGTTCAGTAGCTCAGATCCTAGTTTGTGACCAAGGCCTCCTACTACTTTCGAATTTGCGGTTGACGCCGGCATGTCAGTCGAGTGTCTCATATAATAGTTTGTGTCCAAACCCTCCTACTACTTTCGAATTTGCGGTTGACGCCGGCATGTCAGTCGAGTGTCTCAGATCCTAGGTTTGTGTCCAAATCCTCCTACTACTTTCGACTTCGCGGTTGTCGCCGCCGCGCCGCCCAAGCCGGAGGGCGTCCCAAAGCGGCCAGCGCTCACCACGCGCTTCTTGGCCCAGCCGTCCTCGCAGCTCCCGCGGCCCGCCAGCACCGCTGCGGATCTCGCCCACCTGGCGGTGCGTGGGAGGCGCGAGCCGCCCCCGCCACGGCGCCTGGGCCGCCTCGCGGGCGCTCCTCGCCGCTAGCGCAGACGCTGCCTACGAGGCACGCAGCCATTCGCGACGGCCGACACGATCGCGCTGGCCGGCGAGTTGCCGTCTGCCACATGAGAGACGCGGGCCCTTCCGTCGCTGGTGTCGGACGCTCCGTGGTTCGGGCGCAGGCGCTGCCTGTGGGACACGCTGGCATTGGTGACGGGCAACACGAACGCAGGTGGCGGCAGGCGAGATGATGTCCGCCGTGTGCGAGATGGACCTGCCGCCGTCAGTGCCTCTTTGCACGGAGTACGCGAACTGCCTGCGCCTCCAGCTGGAGATACATTTTGAGAAATCGAGAAGGGCGTAGGCGAAGAGCGGATGACGGCCGACCAAAGTATAAAACGGAAACGACGCAATGGAAAGAACCATCCGCATACTAATCCACATGGCTTTATCAAGGCGAATATAGAGGACCTAGCACTAAAGGAATGGAAAGTGCTCCTTGTGTACGGTGTGTATACGTCATATCTTCCTCCCGTTTCATACTCGCTCCTGTTATGTTTCCGCTACAAATGATATTATAACCAGTGGCGAATCCTATTATTATATCCCGAACATTATTTTAAGCATACTGCATCTTACGGAAGCTACCTCTGCAATAGTTTTCCTTAAAAGTGTCCTTACACATAAAACTTGAATTCTGGAGAAATAATTGTACACTCCGAGTTTAATAGAATATCAGCTCTATTCGTTGATATATCTTCAGCAAAGGGTCCAAAAACAGCCTGTGTAAAATGTTCGTGAACATCTTTATGAAGTTTACAAAGAAACAGATTTTCAATCGCCACCATTGACAACGAAGATCAATCTTTCTTGGTACGTAGTTGATCTGAAGGGAGATTTCACTTTATTCAAGGAGAAAAAATGTCTGTTCAACTTGTTGTTCTTGATGATACAATTAAAACTAACTGATTTCTATACTTCCGGACTCACGTCAGTCTCTTTCGTTCATGATTTGTACAATCTGACAGATTTGGCTTGAAAGTCTGATCTTCAGACAAGTACACAACAGTCAATTCATTTTACAGGCGCCTTGAATCGAAGTCTGAACAATAGGATTTCAAAAGGTTTGAAACTAGATGAGGGAAAGATGTTTTGTAGTCTTTAAGTTTTGAGAAATCAAGAAGTGATTTGAAACAAACTTTTCAAATCCGAAAATCTATTTCTTATCCGATTGAGTACATTGTCCAAAATCTCATTGAAAATTCTTTTGAACGTGAAAATTCTTTTTTCACTTAAATCGCTAGTTTTCCTTTTCATTTGTGCATGTATATTTATCACCACAGAAGAAATATTTTGACCAATACTTTCGAATTCTCTTCTGATTTTCTCTAAACATTCCATAATGTGTTGCAATTTAGAATGACAGTACCCAATATCCATACATCCGAGTGCAGAATGCCCACAGAAGCAGCCGTTGTTCAGACCTGATGTAGGGCATTCCGTTAACCATTTGTGACTAGAATAATTAGAATATAGAAATGTCTGCTGTACTCTCGCTTCATGTCGTGGCATTTTGCACACAAACCTGGAAGTTCTAGGCCAAACGTAGTCTTTTTATTTCGAGCTTTCTTGAAAACCCGATAGTATGAAATTCAGTCCTTAATAATTTTTTTGTACCACAATCACCAACAGCACTGCCGCGCATCCTCCTCTTTCACTACCCTTGAAACATAAGGAGTCTAAGGTCTTTGAGTTTGACAAGATTACTGCGGTTGTGTGAAACCCTCTTATGTACGTTCTTCAAAGCACAGAAACTTGCGGAAGACTGGCTCCTAGTAGCAAAACAATACTATTATTTTGCATTTAAAGACGTTAAAATCTCAATAGCATATTAGGGGATTACCATACCTCTGAAGTCATTTCTTATACTCTTCGAATTAGGAATGCCGCCGGTATACGCGGTGTATCGCAGAATTCGCCACTAATTATAAAATAATTTAATTTTAAAGTAGTATTTAATATTATTAAACTCTAAGATGTTTTTGGCCTACTAGACGCATAAAATGATTGTAAACCATAATATTACTTAGTTTACTTACTAAAATTAACTTGTAAATGAATTAATAAGACTGAATGTTCAATGAATTGAAACAGCTTTTTGCTTAAATTTGCTCCACTCGAGAAGTCAAGAAACAATTATTGCACCTGATTGCACGTCACGAGATGTTCATCCCGACTTAAAACCCAAACATAAGATTGAGGAACTAAACTGTTATATTCAACCTTCAGCTGCTCTTATATCTAAAAGGGTTGAAGATTTGTCGCACTAAGTGGCTCGACTAATTATCAAAGAATTCTTTGTATACCTATCAGCTACACACACATTCAAAACAAACCTAAGCATGGTTTTCACAGAATTACAATATTTGCCCATTCTTTACCACGACAAAATGGTAATTATAAAAATATTATGATCTTTTAACTAGTTACAACACTAGTTAAACTTTTCACAAGTTCCTAAACATTATTAAAAATTTTCCTGAAACATTAAACGTTAAATTTTCATACGCGAGTTTCATCTAATAAAAAAAAGTAATGATCTAATTTTCAAACCTACTACTAAAGGCAGCAGATCTTTTACAATTCTTAAAGAAAACTAAAATATTTACAAAAAAGCTCATGTCCATTGCACAGTAAGATAATGGCGTAGTAAGCCATGATTACACGACACTGATACTTGTGTTTTGGCCCCGACATTCAGAATTAGAAGAGATGAAGTTCGTAACTAATGCGAGTGGGGGCGAACCTTACGTTGGGTGCAGCGATGTCAGCTTTTACGTGCTCGTAAACCAATTGGTTTGCGTATTTCAGATGTCATTCCTCGACCACATGCGAAATGAAAACAGCACACATAACAACAGAAAACCATTCATGACAACGGCATTTCATTTGTTTCGACATCTGAAAAGCACTGACGAGCCTGAGATACAGCGTCACCACCCAGATACCAGACCTCACAACTCTGAGCTGACGTCAACAGCGAGGATCCGACTTCGTGAGGTCGGATTCCCACACTTCAGCGCACGGACTAGACAACTTTAAATAATTGATAGGGTTTAAATACATCGATTCTCGAAAGTATATGTCATAAATTAACAGCAAAATAGACGACACCATCAAAGTAAAAATTAAGTATCGTTCATAATCGGTAATCGGTGCTTCATAAGCTTTCGCCGTTTACAGCGTACTACACACTTATCGTGATCATTTCGAAGTTAATGTCTTGTTTCGACATATGAAACGAGAGGTACCGTGAAAATATTTCACAAGGTATATCGTTTTTACTTCATTTATTTTCTTGAGAGCAGTTCACAATGTGGAGCAAAGAAACATGCAAATACACAAAAGTTACTGATGATTATTTTATGAGCGTGCAGCGTCGAGAAAAATGAGGCATCCAGTGAGAGAGGGAGCTAACCCCCAAAATTCAAAACATCGATTTATTGAAATATTTTATGTTTTCATAATTGAATGCGTTCATAAATCGAGATTTTGTATTTTGTGGGTTAGCTCCTCCTCTGAGTGGATACCTCAATTGGATTCATCTTTCTCTTCAGTTCATCAGGAGATTCGACACGTAAGAAAAACAAGTACAAGGTACTGCTTCAGAAGCCAATGGGATCTGGATAATGGTGCACACACTACTTTCCTTGTTATTTTTTTCATTCACAGCACTGACTTCCCAGAGGATATCACATTGTTTGAAATGTTTGTGGCAGACCTAGAAAGAATTGAATATTAATAAAAAATAGTATAAAGACCCATAATGATAATCCATAATTAGAATCGTAAGTAAGGGGTTAAGTAATTTAAATATTACAATTTTTGCTACATTTACACAAATACTTGTTCTTACCCTTGAATTTCCAGTCACTACATAATCCTTTCGTAGAATATCATGTAGCGACAAATCTTTCTCAGTTCAGCATCTCTTCCTTATTTCAGGAACACGTGTGCATTCTCAGGTCCATTTGTGGTGGTATAATTGCCGTCGCAAAATGGAACACAACACTTTTGAATCATCGTGTGCTTTTTTACCCTATTCACATTCTACCGATACCGTTATTGGGGACAAATAATAGTATGCTTTACCAGTATCAAACTTTGGCTTCTAGACGCAAGCCAAGCACACACACAAATCGAATAACACGCTCTAAAACAGTCACAACCTGAACACACACGGCTCCAAGGTACGTCGTAGCTTCAGGAAACACCCTGAGCACAGCTATTAGGCTTTCTATCGAATAAGAATTAGACACGTAACCTATCCAAATTGCATTGTAAATTTTCAGCAATCTACAAATATGGCTCTGGCTTTTTATGATTTCTTATGAGGGAACAAAGGAAATTAGATTAATCTCTGCTTCGATCTTCAGCAAGTGCAACACCTTCCTAAATCACCCATGTAACTGTAACGTCATGCCAACGTGCCCCCTGGACCCCACAAGTCGGGAGGGCGGCAAAGGGGCGGGAGAAGTCCTTTGGCGGCAGGCGGAATGCCACCAAGATCCGGGACCTCCCCGAGGGATGGCAGCTGGGCTCCAAATTACAACCAAACCCAAGTTTCGGTAATGAGATTACGCCGTCGGTATGGGTGGTCAGTCACGTGATCCCTCGCGAGTCGGCGGGAGAGTAACAGCCGAGGATATTCGAGCTTGAACCGAATCGTGGTGCGGAAGTCACTTGTCAGCCGCCAGGGGTTATCGCTAGCTTCGACTGCGAGGTGTGGCTGTTCGCCACGGGATGAGAGACCAGGAGCGGCGGTAAGTTGGCCGCTGGGATCTGTGTCAGCCAGAGGCGGGTAAGCCTCAGGGCTGTGCAGTGATGGGAGTGCATCACTACTTCCTCAGGAGTGTAATTATTGTATAGAAAAACTTGTAAGTAAATCTGTAGATAACGTCGTGTCTCACTCGCACCATCGTCACAGAACATAATATCTTTGAACACTGAAAGATATGAAAAAAGTGTCTCCCTTAGCTCAAAAATGACCAAGACTGGACTTCAATGTTTAATTACCAAGCCATCGATATAAACTAATTACTTCCTCTTAACACGCTGGGTAGTCAGAATCTATATTTTGCGGGACCTTGCTATTGAAAAATCGATTGACGGTAAAAACGTCTATCTGCCTGTCCGTCTATCCCTCTGCGGTCAACGTTAGCACCTAAACAGTTCAAACGATTTTCTCCATAATTTATTTCCCTAATCGATCTGAACGAACTCGCGGGTCAGCTAGTCTGAAACGATATAGTGAGAGAAACGAAAATCAAATTGGCTATCGAACCAGTGGTACTATCCTTGGATTAAATGAATGGCGTATTTGGTTTCCAAAAATATTTATTAATAAAGGGCAGACAATGTACTTCACATACGTGCATCCTTTATTAATCAAAAATATTGTTGGAATCCGAATACATGTGCATTCTGAAAAATCACAATCAACACATAAATTATTTATTTTTAATTTAGTCTAAATTAATTTTTCTCCATTTCTTCTTGAAGAAATATAATAGTCGATCAATATAAGTATGAAATTGCGAAAGAATAAAAACATGTATAAAAACATCCGATTCTTTTTATTTTTTTAAAAATAATGATTTTTATAAACCCTAAAAAATAATATTTTGAGAGTTTGCCGTGTTCTTTAATAATCACTCAGACGGGTAAAATAAGTTTGATTAATTTTTATGAACATAGAAGTGTTTTCGTAGTTCTCTATCTTCTTTCATTTGCAGTGACGACGCTTCCGGACAGTATATTTTATAATTTATTCATCATTTTTTATTATACATTTCATTACTTTACCAGAACATTTGGAGAATAAAAGAAATCTTTAAAAATATTTATCAAAATCTGGAAGAAAATTTTATAAAAAAGGAAAAACTACTTTTAAGTTATTAAGAATGCCCTATTTGAGTTAAGGCAGGTGATCTGAGAATCAAGCGATAAACATCTCCGACCACTGGCGTCCAGTGGATTGCGAATTAAGAGGAGCGGCGTGTATCTCCCCACAAATCACATATTTTGTCTCTTCAAAATATTCCTTCATTGAGAGCCCCCTGCAGCATGTAGTACCGATTTGAAACCAAGGTACTTTAATTCATGCGTAAGACAACTTTTACCTTCATAAAGGAACATGAAATTGCGCTCACGAAAATAAGATCTTTAAAAAAAGGTTGCATCAAATAAAGCAAACATTTATGAAATCAGATGAAAGAGTCGATATTGTTAGCGTAGTAAACAGCCGAACAAAACCCCTAGACACAATTTAAACGTTTCTTTTTGACGAACGATTTCAAAGTTTTAGCGTACGCGCGCAAGGGCGAAGCCCGTATCCCCCAAACAGGACCTATTCCGCGTGTTCGTAAAACTCCGGTATCGTTCATCCTAAGGCAAAGTGAAAGCGGATCGAGAAGGACACACAAGTGGATGCCCCCCGTTCTACTCCTAGTGCCCCTGCTCTTTCTCTTGAATCTGGGCGCAGTAGTCCACAATGAGATCCATTCAGAAAACGTTGATTATTCGCTTGAGTGGACACATGGAATTAAATTCGTCCTGAAAACTTGCGCTGGTAATTCATGGAATTAAAGAAGTCGCTTTGGTGTAAGTCAGCCACGTCAAGGTCGCACGCAAGGTAACTAGTTTACTAGAGCTCGCGGTACATAGCTGGATCCCTGGCCCATCACTTTTTTTTTTTTTTTTGAGAAGTCTATTGATTGTAGACATCCCGCAAACATGCTTTCGTTAGAAGATATCATTCGCCATGATACTTTGAGTGCGTTTCGCGTTTACCATTGCGTTATATACTAGCCGCTACAGCATACGCTTGTACCCCCCTTCTGGGTTAGGAGGGGAAATGACTGTAGAGTGAGGGGAAGTTGCCCTTGCACGTAGGAGCGCCAGGCTTCCCAGGCGAGCACGTAGGTCGCGCGGATCTGTCTCAGATGTATGCATTAGACCAAATATACGTCGCTTACACTGATTTGCACCGAGGCGCACTTCGCCGAAATTATTTCGAAGCTCTTGTATGTTTAACTTCTCTAGAATGTACAGTATACTATGTTGGAGTGAGTGATTGTGTGGGTACTCACGCGGCGTGCATTCGCTCCTTGGGGGCGGGCGGCGGCGGGGGCGGCGGCGGCGGGGGCGCGCGCCTTGTGCGCGGAGCAGCCTTCCTCCCGGGCGCGGCCTTGTGGCAGGAGCGGCTCGGTGAGCGGGCGCGGGCCGCGTGGGCGAAGGCGGCTTCGCCAGCGCGCAGTCGAGTTTGGCGGGGGCGGCAGGTCCTGCTCCAGACGGGCTCGCCACCGCCAGCGACAGCAAGCGGCCACAGCGCCGGCGGCGGGCGGGGCGGCGGCGGCGGCTTCGGGGCGGCGCTCCGCGCGCTGCTGGCAGCAAACGTCGCGGTAGAGGCGGCGGCACGGCCGCGAGTCGGCGGCGCCGCGCCGCCCCGCCGCGCCCGGCCGCCGCGGGGCGTCGGGCCCGGCAGGCGTCGGGCTCGGCGTGGGCGCGGCGAGGGGAGGGGCGTGGGGAGGGGGTGGGCGACGGCGAGGCCGCGGGCCGAGGGCATGGGGCGAGGGCGAGGGAGACGCCGAGGGGTGGCGGCCGGCGTCGGGCGGGAGGGCCGAGGGCTCGGGGAAGCGCAGGATGGCGGTGGCGGCCGTGTGCTCGGAGGCGCTGCGGCTGTCGGGCGAGGACGCCGGCCGGCTGGGCTGCGCCGGCACGTGCAGCACCCCCGAGCTCTCGGGCACCGTCGTCGACGTGAAGACGATGGGCGCCGAGCGCTTGGGCTCCAGCGCCGACCGCGCCGCCGACTCGCGCTCCGTCTCCGCCGACGTCTTGTCCACCCAGCTCTCCTGCGCGCTCTGGTTGCACGTCTTTGTGTCCTCGTCCAGCTGCTGCTCAAAGTCCAGCACGTCGCAAGCCAGGCAGTTCAGGTTCAGCATCTGCCAAGCAAATACGGCAGTGCACCAAAGAGGGAACGGCTTTCTACAACATCGTACAACGAGCTCTAAACGAATAAGCCCAGCAAGATGAATTGCAAATCTTCAATGGACAGTTATCTATATTATAGTGTGGCGTCGTTAACACGAGGCTCAGAACCGTTAGGTTGGTGAAAGCACGTTGCAGGAGAGGAAAGGGTTGAGCCTGAACTTCAAGGATTTTGCACTCTGGCATCTGACACAGACAGCGTAGCAGAGCCAAAAATACCCTTAGGCTGTAAACTCCTAGGAAGCTAGCAAACGAGCCCTCGCTTGCCGACAGCAGGCGTGCCTACCTAGGAAACTTGTGTGGTGGGGGTGTAGGCCCCAACTATTTAACGCGGCGCCATCTGCGCCCGCGTTCTCATTCAGTTTGCATCGGAGGGCGTAGGACGAGTAGGTACGGGGAGAGTAGGAGTGTGGGCGAGATGTCCGGACTGTAAGGGCCAGACGATCTCGGGTGCTGTAGGCACGCGGTCCGCCGGACGGCGACCGTTTAAATTTTGGCGTCAGGCCATGTGACGGTGATAGTCACGGGACGAAAGTCCGACAGCTCGCATCACGCGTAGCTTTTTTCTGCGGTAAAGCAGGGTACTGGGAAAGAAAAGGTTGCGGAGAAAAGGAAAAGGGTTTAAATTTTAGCAAATTATTGTAACTGTTTGTAACTTTTCAATATACTTATTATATTATTGTTATCTGAATTTATTCTTATTTCACTACGTCACAATAGCTAGGTCGAATTCAGTCGCTGTCTGGAGAAGAATTCTAGCGGCCAGCTGATCGGTAGTTTGACGTGGTTTCTCGGATCAACACCAAGCGAACCCGGATCAGTACCGTAACAAACGAAACGTGGGCCGCGCGCGATGATTTCTACACTTCCTTGTCCAATCCTCACCTCTTACACACTCGTATACATATTGTGACGTCATGGATACTCACAGCGAACACAGACCCAGAGCTTTCATATAACAAATATTTATTTACAAAGAAAACACAACAAATATTTACAATGAATTTCCTTCTTACACCCTAGCTCTGATAGACCTACTATCCCCTGATAGGGAGCGATTCAAACCCGATTGATGATCGGTTTCGAACCTGTGGCACTCCTACTTCTGAAGCGCGCACAAAGCCAAGCTTCCATGACCGGATGTCACACTGGGACACAAAGTCCGTACTGGCGTACCAAGTAATGGTTTGCCTCGATCGCAGGAGAGATCTTATCTGATTGAGAATCAGCATGAGTCATGGCACTCAACCACTCCTCACCTCTGAGCACGCACACAGCATCGCTCCCACGTGACCGCAGTCACCCAAGGACACAAAGTCCTCCACAGGCCGATGCATCGTCGTGGCGCCAAGTTTTGTGCAAATGCTCGAGGTTCTCCCACTGTCTCCAGAACCCACCTACTGGCTCTGTGCACTCCCTTATATAGTCGAGGCTCACGTGACCTACTACGTCATGCCGCTCTATTACTGGCCATTGAGGGTTTGGGTCTCCGTTTCTTAAGACCGGAAGACCCCAAAGCCTCGTGTCTCCCGTTTCCGCGATCCTGCTTTAAGGAAAACCCTTTTCTCCCTCCTGTGGCGAGGAGTTTCCTCTTACTAATCCCTTACCAAGCGTCCCCAAATAGATGCCACGAGATACGCTGGCTAATACGATACAATATACATTTACATGGACTACATTATCACATATGATGGGAGACTAGTAAGGAAGCCAGAGCTTGTTCCGGCTGGGGCAGTGCCACGCTGGTGGGAGATAACTGGTTGGGGAAAATCCCTGCAAGCCGACGTAGGCTAGCGCCGGATCTTGGTAACCAGCGGGAGAATATCACCGCCATCTTCCGCAATATAAACATTAACTATACTAACACGACTAATGACCTACGGCGCCCGGAATTACTAATCAAACATTCGGCACTCGGCGAGTAACAAGCAACTGCTCGCCGAATCCCGAGTATTGTGACTGGGTTGCTTGTGTAAAAGTATTTTGCTTGGTCGCACGCGCGCTAGGGTATGCGGCTGCCGCGCCGGGGCGACCAACTGGTCCTGTTGGCGCCAGGCTGACGGCCACCATAGGTCCGTGGGCCCGAAGGGAGCGGGCCGGGTGCGTGTGATTGGGAGGCGGGTGTCAGATAATGGTGGGAGGGGGGTGATGTGTGACGGCCAGCCCTCGGAGCAACAGCCGAGCGGGCCCTGTTTCGCACCCGGCCCCACAACTCCGTAACGAGATGAGGCAGTCCGACGAGTCTAGAGCGGGAAGGTTCTGCGATGCAGGCTAGCGGAGGAAACAGCCGGGGACTTGGGCGTTCGAGAGGAATCTCGGTGCAGATGCACATTGTTCACCCATGTGGGTGTAATCGCAAGCCTCGCCTTTACGAGGTATGGATTTCGCCAGGGAGACCAGAGACGGCGCGAATGTTCGCTCGCTGAGGTTCTTTGGAGTCTTGCCGTACTTGGGCGACTTGCCTAATGGGTTAGAAACTGCGGAGTGTAAGGTAAAAAGTGTACCTTAGGAGTTTGTTAATATTGAATAGTGAATTACTGATAATAAAACATGTAATTAGAAACTCCGTGACAGTGTTCTTAGCCTATCACGACGTCGTGACACTTGCTATTTACCGTACGACGAACATTCGGTGCTAGCCACCGCGGTCGGTCATTAGGACACGAGCAGTCTTTACGAAGCGAGCAGTCGCCGAACACATCAGCAGCTCGGGGTTGGAAGATCAGTTACTCGCTACTCTGTAAATATCGAATGTGTGGAGCCGTTTTAAGAAGGAAGCGGCTCAGTACAACATCGTAGAACGAGGTATAAACGAATAAGCCCTGTGAATGAATTGCAAACTCTTCAATGGATAGTGTGAAGGGCATCAATGAAATATGAAAACAGATATGAGAATGTACAGCCAAAATTTTTCGTAATTTTTCTTATTTATTTGGATAAGAAAAAAATTGGACATGATTTTATATTTCGAACAACTGTGCCTTTTATTACATCATAGAAAAATTCACAAAAAGAATATTTAATGTCTAATAAGTGTTTTCTTAAGAGAAATGCATTTCTCTACGCGAAATAGTTAAATAACTCACTCCAACACGCTTAAAGAGAGTGATTTTACAATATCAACATCTTTCGCTCCCGGAATGGTAAAAGTTTCAAAAAGCCGCTTGCTCAGTACAAAATCTAAGATTATAGCAATTAATTTACCGTAGTAACGGCAGAGATGGTGTTTGTATTTATTATTGTGCATGTATGTTAATCCCCATTAGATATGGGAATCACATTTAAGGAAATAAAGTGTGAAAACGAATAGACGAACGGTCATTGTTGGTTGTGGTTACCCATTGTTGTAACGTCACAAAGGTAATAGAAGGCGGTTACAACGGTTGCTTTTCGTTCGCGTTAATAAAAACGAATGCTGTTATATATTTGTAGAATATTACAAATCAATAGTGTTTAATAATTTCTATTATATACGATCTATTTGCATTTGTTTGCCCATTCGATCAGTATCGTATTATTTATTTGAATTATTTTACTTTCTCACATACTGCTTATTTTACGCACCAAATGTTTCTCGATTTCAAATGAGTTTTACAAAAAGTAATTCGTGGGGAAGTTGTGGTATAAATAGTATTACATAACCATTACTAATGGCGAGATAGTATGTGCTGTTTTAGCACCACTGGTTACATGTATACTATATTACTCCTTTGTGTATTTTACGGCATGTGGTTAGGCGAAAGAGCGGGCCTCACGGCCCGAGTCTCTCCATACCAATAACGTCATTTTTTTATTTAACAAGAATTGTACCTCAGATTCGGAGCCAAATGCCCTCATCTCGATCAGGCTTCCTCGAGCCATTGAGCGAATGCTGAAATGGCTTCTTGTTCTCCTTCTTTACATAAGTGTCTACGCACGTTTAATAGTGTACACTGGGAAATATACTTATTCAAACTTTCATTCTGCATGTTCTCGCGACAGTAAATCAATTCGAGGGGAACGATGAGGGATAATAGCCTAACTCTGAAGTTCATTTGTCTTTGCAGTTTTTATCATATGAGGGCGATTATTTTCTTATCAATTCTTGGCAAAAACGCTCATTTTCATCTATATTCAGAATTCAACTTTTATGGATTAGGATTGAGATCTCAGAGTTTTAGAAATTTTCACAGAGCATACTGCTGTCTATAGTTCGTTACATACAATTTTTAATAATACAATGTAATATAATATAATATAATATATTATAAATAAATATTGCATTTAAGAAGTTTCATTACTTCTTAGATGCCTGATTCTATTATTAAACAATTTTTTTGTACTCTGCTTCTGGTATTGATCATTACTCTTATTTGTTTAAATATTTTTCTAGCACGTTTTGGAGGCTGTTTTACCTCTTTGAAGCAATTTGTTGTTTCTGTAGTATATTCTTTAAATAATTCTTGCTATCTAATTTGGAGGCGATAGGTTTTTTAAATGGGGATTTTTTTCTCCATATTTTTCTGTAGTGTTTCAAATTGATGTTCGTATTTAATGCGGATGATGGAATGATTGGAGGAGGCTCGATGTGTGGAAATGAAATGGATAAATGAACCGAGACCATTTCAAAACATGGTGAAGAATAAAATATTGATTGAAAGTTTGAAACTGCTATTTCCAATACATCGGGCATTCTAATCTGATCGTGGGGATAATTTGTTGGCTCTGGGGAGATTAATGGTAGGGGAGTTAGGTTTTGTGATTATATGGCGCATTTGCCTCCCTGCGTTAGTGGTATTACATCCCAATTAGGAGAACCAAGCGTTGAGGGACAATATAGTGGGAGAGTTCAGTTAGAATATGCAGCAATGCTGGTATTTTGCATATCAATTTGGAACGCTTTATGTGCTGTAATGATTGTTATTACTATTGTTTAGTGAAAATTTAGTTTATTTGTATTTGTACGCAAGATATTAATATATATAATATAATATAATATATATTATATAATATATATATTATAATATATATAATATAATATAATATAATATATATTATAATATACTAATAATATATAATATATAATAATAATATAATAATAATAATAATAATATATAATAAAATAACGATAATGATAAGGAGCAATCTGTCCCTTTTTGATTAGATCGATCGTTTCTAATTATACTGTAACCAGAAATAATGAATGTGAAATTATTATATGTATGTTTCTGTGATGCAAAGTATATACCGTGTGGGCAACCTAAGATGTTCCATTCCATTTTCTCCTGAACCGTTGCAGATACTGAGATGCGATTTTCACTCAAATTACTTTATGCAAGGGACCCATATGGTCATGAATAATATTAGTCTAATGCATTTTTTGTTGCAGAGACATTGACTCAACTTCGATTTTTTAAATGGAACCATACAGATTTTTTTAGCTCATCGTAACAAGCGTAAAGAGACGAGTTCGTAAATATGAATAACCCCATATGTTAGATAACAAAATGTTCGAGAAATTAAGAGTTTTAAAGACGCACGCCGACTGCTGTTTTCCGTCATCTGAACGAGAAATTCCAGGTGATATGCGGCGAGACCATTCCTTCCGTTGCGTCAGCCGAGTAAAGTGGGAAAACTGGACATGATGCCTCGAAGTGACGTAAGAAGGGTAGGTAGAATAAAAGGGCGGCGAAGAAAGGAAATGCAGTCTGAACTAAACGGGAACTCTCCAGATTTAGAAGAAATTTGTAAACGCAGTGAAATAGTGCAGAAATATCCAAGAAGATGTATACGAACGGGGAGAAGCTGGACCTAATTCCGGTGAACGGTGAATGTGGCAGAAATGCAAAGAAAAGTGAATTACTGTATGCTGAAAGATATCCAGATCGACGGCGGCCTTCGCACTATATGACTATGACTATAATAAGAATCTGTAAAAGCTTTGTGCAGAGAGGCGACTGGAACGCAAAGACTCGATTTGAGAAACGAGACATTATGTGAACCACTTGAACTCAGAAATTCAATAATGTATACAAATAGCAGGTATAGTGAATATTAACTATGTGACAGAGAGACAGAATCTTTATTCTACAATTCGGCGTATGTTCTCCGGTGGCAGAAATTTTTGAAAACAACATTGAAAATGTTCCAGCGGTCCTAAGTACCACCAAAATTTAAAGAATGTTATTCAAAATCGCAGCCATGAGACGGGTTTGATTGTTTGTGATTGATTCCTTGCGCGTCAACTGCCTAAATCATTAGTCCCGTATGTGTAGGGAATGTTTTTTCCGAATCTTCCGTCGGCTGCGGGGACTTCCCCAACCGGTATCTCCCACCAACGGGGCACCTTCCCAGCAACGACAAGCTCTATGCTCCCGACCGGTCGCCCGGCAGTAGGGTAGGGTAGCGAAGGTTAGGTTAAATGTATGTAATCGGTGAGGATAGGACAAGAAAGAGGAAGGAAACATCTTGCGCGGTCCGTGGCCCGTTTGGTAAGGTACTGCATTCGTGTTGGTATTGCTCGAAAAAACAAACAAAAAAAAAACGCGGAAAACTACCGATCAGAGCAGCCAGCCTCTAGAATCTTCCTTCAGATAGAATGCGATCTAGCTGACTAACGTGTCCAACATCCTGCAACTCGCGGGACTGGAACCTAGGACCTCCAGGTCAGAGGCACAGCACTGACATCAATTGATGCCATGAGCCACCTCTCCTGGTGACTTGAATCGGGTCAGATTGTCCAGGGAATATTCATATTGGAAAAAAAATCTTACGAATTGTTAGGTGCTAGCATTGTTCACAGACGAAAGGAGAGATAGAAGGACAGACACACGGACGGAAGTTTTATAAAAACCAAACACTTTTTCGAAATCACTGGTTTCCAGAAAAGTGTATTTCCGTTTAAATCCGATATCGAGTTTCCTCAGCATTATAACTTCTTCTGTACTACCTAGATTACTCCATATATAAGTACATCTACAAGAAAGTTTCGATAAACTAGAAATGTAAAAATGGCACACACTCATTACTGAAAATGGTTGCGTAATATTAAACCATTGCATTTCCTGCCCTAATAACAAATGTGCTGTAACTTTAGAAATTCCAATTTAACCAGTTCAAACCAAGCACATGTGGTGTATTTCTGTATTTTCAATGATAGGAACAATTTTTAGGGGTCATACTTGTACAAATGAATCAACGCGAATAAATTTAACTATTACAATATTTGCTGCACATTATACATAAAAACAAGAACGATTTCACATAAGCTTGCCTTGATTACATGGATATTAGCTTATAATTTTTACTTTCTCGCCCTTACTTCATAAGAATATAAAATATTATATCGGAGACCGGAAAACGGCATATTTTACTCAGAAACAACTTTTATTTCCGGGCCCTGGTATAGACAAATTGCATAAATCTTGATCCTGGGTACTTCCTCTCACACGCTGTGTTAGAATCCATGTTTTGCGGGTCCTTGATTGCAAAAAATTGATTGACAGCAAAACGTCTGCCTGTTTGACAGTTGCCAATGCTACCGCCTAAACCGATCAGCCGATTTCCTCCAGAATTGATATTTCCCAATCGATTTAAATGAACTCAAAAATCTACGAGTTTGAAACGGATAGTTTACCTTAAGCTTGAACAATATTTTAATTTTTTCTGAAAGAAGCACTTGTAACGCGCGGAAATGCAATTGTAACTACCCTAAATAACTATGTTACGCGACTAGACCCTTCACCCATTAAGAAGTATAAATAAATTATAAAGCTGTAAGAACGAGTTGTGTTAATCTTGTGTTATATAATAAAATGTATGATAATTATAATTATAATTAGTTAGCGATGGGGGGTCCACCTAACAATAAGGTTAGGGACAATTTTTTAATTGAAGGAAGGACGTGTAGGCAAGAAATATTCTGCGTTCGTAGGCTTCCGCGGCCGGAGTCATTACATTCTTGGCTATCCGGGATGAGCCGCGTCTCGGTCAATTGTGCTGATGTTTCGGCCATCTTGCAGTGGCCTTCTTCAGAGCTATACTGCCGAATTATGCAGCTGAGCTATACTGTTGCGCAGTATAGTACTGAAGAAGGCCACAGCAAGATGGCCGAAACGTCAGTACAATTGACCGAGACGCGGCTCATCCCGGATAGCCAACAATATAAGAAGCCATGCAAACGATCTCATGGAGGATGCATAGGCCCCGAGTCAACTCTGCCAATTTAATTGGATTCTATAGATTGGAATATCCCATCGATTAGTTTTGAATATTTCCTTCGTTGATTGATTGATTAATTAGTGATTCCGAACGCGACAACGGCTAAGAATATTAGTACCGTAAGTGTAGTGTATGTTCTTTTTGTCTGGAGATGGCCACCGCAGGATGGTGAGATCCGGTGCCGACCTACCTGTCAGCGGGGTTTTCCCCAACCAGGTATCTCCCACCTGTGGGACACCCCCCCCCCCAGCCAGGACAAGATGTAAGCTCCCGACCAGCCGCCAAGCATGTGCAGCAGTGCTGTGTGTGTAAGGACTGAGGTTAGGAGAAAGGAGAAGAAAAGATCGGGTGCGATAAGTGAACCGTTAGGATACTACACCGGCATTTGCCTGTAAATAATCGGAGAAACCCGGAAAACTACTGATCAGAGAAGCCGGTCGCTATTCTTCTCCAGACAGCAACCGAATTCGACCAAGCTGTCCAACAAGTAGTCGTTTTGTGGCTTCTATACAGCAGGAAACTGATGATGATGGCTGAGCCATCGAAAGCTGCTATTGAAGAATATTGTTGGCAATAACTCCTATTTTCGTCCAGACAAAGGCAACCATAGCAATTTCTTCAATACATAATGATTCTTACGCCGAGGTGTTAATCGTGTCGATTGGGTGTAGTCTTTTCAGAATCTCCTCTTCTGATGAGAACACAGAAATGCGATGGGAAGGAATGCTTGGTACAGTTTCTGCAAATGCTCTCCCAATTATCTAAGCAATATTTTGCAGCCTGAATGCCTATAATTATTTCATTTCAGAATGTAGTAATGACTGACGCGTTTAAATCAATCATGTAGGTACTACGAAATCGGGGAATGGCTGCCAATACGACCAGTTGTGGAAAGACATTTTAAACCTTCAGGTTGCGTTGGACGAGGTTGCGATCTTACGTATCTGAAGTATCTCATCAGTATCGCGCTGCGAACTCCAATTCCACAAAGGTATTAATAACCTGTGTGGAATAATACAGGTTTATATTAAGCGAACAATACAAATGTACTGTGTGAACTGAACTTTGTAAAACCTGAAATGTTTATAATAAAAATAAGTAATTGATACACATATGGGAGGAGAATGATCAAACCTAATTGGATTTGGTTCGCCAGTCGTTAGCTTAGAATTAAATTGAATTGAATTGAATAAATTCCTTATTTTACGTGGCGAGACTCAGGCCATGAAGCCTGCTCTCCCGTCTGACCACGCAAATTTCGCTACGCTCCTTTCACCAACTAGCAGAGAAAGGAGGTATTTCTTGGGCCAGAAACAGGAGATTTGAATGCTCATAGGCGTCATTTAGGCTTGAGGATCTTTTACATGCAAGTAAATCAACTAACATGGGACAGCCGGCTTTACTTCCCCTCCAAAGGAAGGATTTTTTTCGTCCTTAAAAATCCACGTCTTCGATCGGGTTTGAACCCGCCAACTTGGGTACAACAGTCCGATACGCCAACAGTTACACCATCGTCGCGCACAAACGAAAGGCCAAGGGAAGCAACATGGCCACTAGGACGTCACGTACCTCGTCGTAGCGTTCGGGGTGCATGTGCCGGAACCAGTCGAGGTCGTCCGCGGCGAGCAGCACGGGCTGGTGCAGCAGCGCCGCGTCGGCGACGCGCCACTTCTCCTCGTCCACGATGATGCGCAGCAGGCGGTCGAAGTGGGCGGCGTCGGACGGGGCGGCGCGCAGGCGGCGGCCGGGCGGGGAGTCGGCGCGCGCGGAGCCGACGGAGGCCGCGGCGGCGGCAGCCGTCGCCAGGAAGCAGGGCGCGGGCGACGCGCTGCTGGGCGGCGACGCCGAGCGCACGGTCGACGACGCCTCCGACGAACAGCGGTACAGCGGGACGGTCTCGCTCGAGCACACGGACGCCGCCGCCAGCGCCAGCGAGCGCGTCAGCGCCGGCTCCGCTTCCCACCTGCGCAGCGCACGCCACGCGCCACTGCCAACGCCTGCGAAGGGCCCCTTCACACGCCGCCACTCGGCAGCGCTTCCGAGTGGCGCGCCGGCTGGCAAAGCATTGGTTTAAATGGAGATCGAACAACGCTTCTCCCGCGTTCAGTCGGGGACACCCGTCACAAGCAGCGCAGGCGGGCTTCCGGACCACCGCCGAAAGGATGCGATTTTAAACGTCAGCATGCGACCAGGAGCCGATTTGCCACTGGGCTTAGCTTTTTAATGGCCCCTTTTCACGGCGGCATTCAGCAGCGCTTCCGAGTGGCACGTCTGCTGGCGAAGCAATTGGTTTAAGTGGAGGTATTCATACCAGAGGCGTGGTCGCGTTGTTGTGGAGATCGGTAGCGGGCTCCGGCCAGCAGAAGCCGTTCGCGCCACGGCTAGCAGATATTCTAGTAAAATATAAATGAAATACTAAGAATTTTGTTGAATCTAAAAGCCTTCACATGAGCCGGTCTTAACCTTAAAAGGATGACTAATTCAAAATTAAGACAAGTTTTCATTTCAGTTAAGCATTCATTTCTGCATTCAATTCGAAATGGCCCGTTCTCCGGTGCATAGCTAAGAGCTCATTTACATGGAACTTCTCGGCAGCGCTTTTGTCTGGCTTTTCAGCCGGGAAATGATTGGTTTAAATGGAGGTATTCACACAAGCGATGTAGTCGCGTTGCATTTCCGCTCGGTTTCGGACTCCCGCAGCGCAGACGCGTGTCCACGCCATCGCCAGCTGAACACACATCTACGTAGCATCCTTCACACGACGCGCCACTGAACCGATTTTTACCTCTGGCTGTCTCCGGAGACCACAGTGGTGTGACTCACAAAACCTTCCTTGTGGTCGGTGGCGATCTGCGGTGGCTGCGCGTAATCGACTCAGTGGCTCGCTTTTCGGTGGCTCCACAGAGGCTCCGTGTGAAGGCAACTAAGAGATCTGCGGTAGTTGATCTAGCTCTCAACATATGTCTAAGCTGCAAATGGCAATGCCCTTCCTACTGAAGCGACTCTTCTCAAACATCTGGAATGGAAAGGTAACCATTACGACGGACTCTAAAATGTTGGTAGTTAAAAACATTTGAATTTGCAAAATCGACCATAATCCCAACAGCAATATCCAGCGGCATCAATAATTACAATCATTAAAAGTCCAAACGGCAAACTAATTATTTATTGCTAATATTATGAGGATCACGCTGGTGTTTTCACCCGTGTGGCCGGTCCTGCATACTCGGAAGCAAATTAATATTAAGTATTTTATATTAAAATGCAGTAATCGTTTCCACAGCTGTACGATGTTGTATAGTATGATGTAATTCGTGTCCAAATAGTATATCGAGCCGTCATCATTCATCATTGATGTATTTTTTTTACTTCAGCAGCAAAATCTGATATTTAAATTTCAAATATCCATTATATATATATATA